GAACCGAAACCAGGCTTAGACAATTCCTTTCTGAGGTACCGACTGATGTGGATTTATTGATGTTACATGATATGCCTGACGGGTTAGGAGAAGCCACAAATAGAATGACTAGGAGGATACATGATAATAACCTTAGGAACCCGGTAATTAAAATTAGATCGATAAATTTTGTGGCTAAGCTAAGTCGTAATAATCATGTTTTAACAAATTCGTTGAGGATGAGGTAATTAATGTGTCCAGTATAACTCTGGAGGATGGTGTGAAACTTGTATTGGAAAGAGGATTGAATTTTGCCCTTCCAAATTAAGTAAACCATTCTATGAACATACTTGTTGAATTAATTAGCCTATCTGATAGATAGTCTAAAAAGATGAAGAATAGTACTGAGTTTGAAGTGATTCCTCATTTTTTCCACATAATCACGCTAAAGAAATCTTGTGTTATAAGTAGGGTTTCTGGATATCTACATCGCAATACCATAATTGCTATGAAAGCCGACAAAGGTGGAGCACTGGTAGTCATGAGTAGGTCAAATTATGCAGAAAAAATGCTAGTTCATTTAAACGAAACTGACACGTTTGGGCTTTTACCGAAGATCCAACTGGAAGACTTAAGACTAAGCTGAAGCATGCCCTTAAGGTATGCGTAAGTAATGGTGAGATGGAGAAGTGGAGAGGGAGAGGCTTATGGTCGCTCTGAGGTTCACAAAGAGGATGTCCCTCTTAGATTACTGGTAACTAACAAAGGAAGCGTGGTGCATAAAATCCCACTCTTTTATGCATACAACTACGAAAGTCTGCACATTTTTGGCTATCTTCAATTAAAAATTCTCATGAGTTTGTAAAATGGAATGCTCAGCAGATAATTCCAGAGGAAGATGGGCTAGGAAGTTTTGATGTTGTATTTATGCCAACCCCTAAATTGTGGGTTAGACACATGGATGACAGTTTTGTGACCTGGCCTCATGGTAAGGAAAGCTTAGATAGTTTCATACTTTGACTAAACCAATATTTTAAAGAAAATTAGGTTGACGATGGAAATAGAAGAGGATAAGTCTTTACCCTTTTTGGATGTTCTGATCATTTGAGAAAAGGATAAGTTAGAAAGAGATGTTTATATGAAGACGAAGCATGCTGTATCTTTTTTTAATTTTCATTCCAACAATAGTCAACAAAGCTAAGGTTGGAATTTTGAAGTCAATGATTATTAGAAGTATGAGACCAGCGGATAGCAACCATTTGACTAGAGAGTTTGAACGGTTGAAAAATGTATTACTTTGGGCCTAATTGATAATAATATTCCTTTACTGAGGAACTGCTTTTCAGACGGAGACTATTTAGCCAAAGGTAGGCAAGCTGAGACCTTTTCTCAGTCTACATTTTGCCATCATACCTTCTCTTTAGGAAGGTATGCAAATTAGTAAGAAACTTGGTAATGAAAACAACGTTTAACGAAATCATCAAACATTCATGTGTTATGTCATCATTTAGAGAGACAGTTGACTGTTACAAGATTTTGTACTTTGTGGTAGACCTGATGCTGGTGCTCCAAGCAGAAGACGACAGCGGATTTATTTAAGCTAACTGTCAAATGGTTTTACAGAAACTTTCCTGTTGACGCTGTTTCCAGAGCAAGAGAATCTCCTACAATTTCGGTGAAGGATTTCAGCAGCGAAAATGTTCCAATAAATCCAATCGACAGCTGTTAAAGCGGATTCCGTCACCAGGTTTGGTGAGATCTGTGTTCCAATCTCTTCATCAAACACTTTCACTCGAAATGGAAGTAAGCACAACATTTAATGAAACATTCTTAGTGACATTGTCCCTGAAAGAACCTCCATCGACTTCGGTGGAGATGTGCTAACCTTTCCTGCTTTTCATGATGGCCATCATCAGAGCTAACGAGTAAAGAAAACTGACAGGCCTATCACTAAATGCTGGATATTCACTTTTTGATTAAGCTATTTAAAAAAATCTCTTATGGCTTGACCCATTGCCGATATAGGTCTCCGAATGAGATGATCCCAAGCACAGCGTTTTGCAGGATACGGGAACTTTACAACTCTCCTCGTAAGATCAGGTAGTCTGTAGCAATGAACAAAATGGCCAACGTCTTCTATGGGAGAAAAGAAAGTTACAGACTGAGTGGGAACTTGTACGGCTGCTGACTAGACCATCCTTAGCAAGAGAAGGAGGCTTGGATAGCCGCTAATTTGGTTGGTACTTTGACACCTCGTTTCGCATAAATCATGACGGTTGCAACCTCACACCTTGCAGCATCAAATGTTTGTCCAATTATGCAAGTAGGGAGCTGTACCACATTCACATCGACTTTATCCCCCTGCAAGAATGCACAATGCAATCGTTCACACGCTTCACCCCTGTTGCAGGCATTGACGACAGTTGCTGCCAGAAGACAATGTGGAATTCCAAGCAGATGCATTTCTTCGATAAAAGCAAATCTTCTTGTGTAGGTCCCCTAAAAGTTTCCACGTTGAAGTGTACGTCTGAGCAGCGTAGCCTTGAAGGTGTTCACGACTTTGATGGAGACGAGGCATGACAGTGAAGATTGAGGTCGACATAATTTGAGCAGTAGAGGCAACAGTGATAGTAGTAGTTTTCATTCGGTTGCTAATCCTATGATTATTCCCACGGGCTCCATACGAATCGTGATGGTGATTATGAATATTTCGGGGACCTTAATTGAGTTATTTCGACAAGACTACATCAGAGACGTCTCTCAGATACTGTCTCGCCTACACTCTAACTATGTCTATCATCTCCGTTACCACCACATATCAAGTTGGCATTGGAAATGGATTTTACTCGAAATGCTACGACCAAGCCACAAATACATGCTCGCATGCACACAGGCACGCAAACATACAATTAGCTTAATTACTTACAGTCTGTACTCAACTTTTTTTGATGTACAAGACTCTTTCAAAGCAGTATTTTTGTCTTTTTCTTACTCTCTTCCCCACATTCCTCCTTGTTGCTGTCCTGCTTGCGACTGCGACAGCGGTTTTTCAGTTTATCAGACAAAATTGTACGCTTGTCTGAGACAGTGGGTTTACTCGTCCTCACAACAGAATCCCCACGCTCGCACGCATCAAGCCTCCTTGCAGGTGTCGTCATGTGTGCCGGAGTGTGAGGAGGAGACACCTCTCTTTGACGACCCATCAAACGACCAGTTACTTTGTCCTACAAAAGAGGTGCAACGACGCACACTGTCCTGATGACCCTTTACTGATGATTACCGGCCACAGGGAATCGGAAAGTTATAGACATCTGTAAATAATTTTATCAACTTTGGCTATTCGAAAAAGATCCTTAGAAATACGGTGTGCAAAATGGAGGCATATTGCACATCAAGTTCAATGCTGAAGGTTCCGTTAACCTCTGATGCCTTTTGATTTGAGGGAGTTTTTAGTTGTCGTGACAATTCTGTTGTGGTGTACGTCTGGCCTCTGATCTCAAACGTCCACTGCTCAAGTCCCCATCTGAGTGGTCCAATTTGGATGATAACGGGATTATGTATTGCAGATCGAAATGAATTCCAAAGCTAATTTGGGTCTTCTATTCAGTTGCTCCTGACTACCTCAAAGACGATGTCTTCGGTCAATCATCCAGACTACTTATGAGAAGCAACAATGAGGGACAAAAAAGATGACAATATTCATAAAGTCGGTTCCACCAGAAGAAGACGGCGGATTCCTCTTGACCAGCTGTCGATTGGCTTTACAGGAAGATTCATGCTGACGCTGTTTCCGAGGCAATCTTCTTCGATTCCGGCGAAAAGGTGCTGAGCTTTGGTCCGTCGTATGACGAACCTCATCAGAGCAGGGTATCATCGTTACAACAAAATTGAAGCTAACGAGTCAAGAAAACTCACCGGCAAATCCCTAAAAAAGTGGTATCTATACTCTACATCTGGCCTCTTTGGTCAAGTATAAAGTGATTCGGTTAGTTAAGGTCATATGTCAACTTCGATGCCTGTGAGTGTGTCTGTCTATGTATTTGTATGTGCATGTTTGTGTTCGGGTTTCGTGCATAAGCGAACACAAACATGCACATACAAATACAGAGACAGACACACTCACATGCATCGAAGTTGACATTTGACCTTAACTAACCAAATCACTTTATACTTGATCAAAGAGGCCAAATGTAGAGCATATATACCACTTTTTAGGGATTTACCGGTAAGTTTTCTTTACTCGTTGGTTTGAATTCTGTTGTGACGATGTTACCTTGCTCTGATGATATCCGTCATATGACAGACGAAAACTTAGCACTTTTTCACCGAAATCGAAGAAGATTGCCTCGGAAACAGTGTCAGCATAAATGTTCCAGTAAAGCCAATCGACAACTGGTCAAGAGGAATTCGCCGTCGTCTTCTGGTGAAACCGACCTTCGAATCTCTTCACCCAACACTTCCACTCGAAATGAAAGTAAGCTCAACAATTAAGAAACAATAGATTCCTCGAAACCCAAATTTTCTTCGTAGATATTCATAAGGCTGTATATGCAAAGAATAACCGAGTTTCGATGAGTTCCTTGGGATAATATTGTTGCAGAGAGCTTCATTTCGCATGAAAGTTCATGATGAATAGATTCGTAGGTCTATGTCACTGGAAGACCACGGATGCTTTCCGTCGCTATACAGCCGTTTGGCTTTAATACGACGTTCAGGTTGACGCAGTCCACGAGACATCTTTCCTCGTTTCGAGTGAAAAGCGGCTGACTTTTCGTCCTTCGTGTCATTTAATAGACAGTAATCATAGAGCTGGAACTCATTTTTGCAAAAGTTTTAAGTTGACAACAATTCAAGAAATATAAGATACATTCACCCTATTTAGTTTCAGGTAAGGAAGAAAGGGTAGATTAAATTTTCTCACAATGCTATAAAGAGGCCTCAAATTTCGTTTGAATGTGACATAGCCTTGCTTCTCAAAAAGTATTCACAACCAGACAGTTGTGGGCTTCGGGTTCTTCGTCGCCTAGGCTCCATCAGTACACCCATCGGGACTCAAAACCGGGTTGTGGTGGAGTAGCGTATAATCTCGACATGTTAATCACCTCGCCACACCTTCCTGGAGTCAATGGGCAGATGTGAATTTTAAGGAAAACCAGATATTTTTCCATATCATACTCGATGAAGCAATATTGTATTTACTATAGCAATCGACAACATTACTTATTTGTTCTTTATTAGTAGGTTTTCAATACTACTAGTAGATCTTATATACAAGATACATTCACTCATTCGATTCAACCAAAAGACGACGGGGGATTCCTCTTGACCAGCTGTCGATTGGCTTTACTGGAACATTCATGCTGACACTGTTTCCGAGGTGATCCCCTTCGATTTCGCTAAAAAGGTGCTAAGCTTTTGTCCGTCATATGACGATCATCCTCAGGGCAAGAAATCATCGCACAACCAGATTCAAGCTAACGAGTCAAGAAAACTGATCGGCAAATCTTTTAAAAGCTCTATACATACTTTATATCTGACCTCATTGATCAGGTATAAAGTTATTTGGTCAGTTATGGTCATATTTCAGAAGTAGTGGGTTTCGGTTTCGTCGTCGGCTAGGCTACATCAGCACACCCATCGGGACTCAAAACCGGGTTGTGGTGGAGCAGCGTATAATCTCGACATGTTCATCACTTCGCCACACTTTCCTGGAGTCAATGGGTAGATGTGAATTTTAAGGAAAACCAGATATTTTCCAATATCATATTCGATGAAGCAGTGTTGTATTTACTATAGCAATCGACCACATTACTTATTTTTTCTTTATTAGTAGGTTTTAGATACTACCAGTAGATCGTTTATATGATATACATTCACCCTATTTGGTTAAGTTGACGAAATTCCTATAGACACTCGAAATCGGTCAGAGGTCACTGTTACAACTTTGGTAACGAACATATACTTGTGGACACCCCGAGTCTCGAGAGCAAATTATAAACGAAAATAAGTGATGTGGTCGACTGCTTTAGCAGTTACAAATCTGAATTTTTCTATAAACCCATTAAGTAATGTGATTTGGGAAAGGATTAAACTTCCTTGAAATTCTCTTCTGCTCCGTAACCCAAGGGCCTTCAGGGCAGTATTAACGTGACGAGACTCTACACTGCACTATCACAATCCGGGTTCGAGTCCCGCTAGAGTTGCTGATAAGGCCTAGGTGAGTTCAAAAGTACAGTCCACTTTGATCTTGATGAGAGTACTTTGGGGGAAGCAAGACTATGGGAAATGTAATGGCTACATGAGGCCTACTCATATGATCGTGGAAAAAATTCAACTCTCATTCCTTTCTCACCTTGAACGAAATAGGATGCATACATCTCATGGAGTTGATCTGGTGGTAACCATGCCTCCTGTTTATATTCCAAACCTACGTGGCTAGGACTGATAGCCTCGTTATTCTCGCTCTCGAGCTATAAAAAATATAAACGTCTCGCATACATTAATGCCCATGCGAAGAAAAGTTGTGTTTCAAGGAATCTCTTGCTTCATAATTGTTGTGCTTACTTCCATTTCCAGTGAAATTGTTTGGTAAAGGGATTCTTAGGGTAGATTCCACGAGAAGACGACGGCAGATTCCTCTTGATTAGCTGTCGATCAGCTTTAATGGACCATTCATGTTGACGCTGTTTCCGAGGTAATACCGTTCGATTTCGACCGTCATATGACGAACATCTTCAGAGCAAGGAAGCATCGTCACAACCAAATTAAAGCTAACGAGTCAAGAAAACTCATCGGCAAATATTTTAAAAGCTCTATACATACTTTATATCTGACCTCCTCGATCAGGTATAAAGTTATTTGGTCAGTTACGGTCATATTTCAACCTCGAAACCTGTGAGTGTGTCTGTCTCTGTATGCGTATGTGCCTGTTTGTGTTCGCTTATGCACGAAGCCTGCAATGATGGCTCAAAGTAGTTAGGACAGCAAAGGTTTGCTGAACAATATCTCCCCCTTTCTACATACATGTTTTGACCATCAATTCGATTGCGCAAGGTCGGACAAACGAATGGTTTTATTGATGAGCCTTTTTATTTGTTTGGTCTCAACGCGAGAGAGAAAGATTGAGCTAAATGCACGAAATCTATGAAATCTATTCAACATATTTCGTTTATGGAGACGAAGTACCGGTAGTTAAGTAGAGCCTTGTTTTCCCAAAATTTATTCTTACCCATGTTCATAGTAGAGCATGTGAACTTGACACGATAACCACTAGGCCCCATTGCCACGAGTGCCCTTGGGTCACAGGACAGATGTGAATTGCAAGGAAGGTCAGGCCTTTTGTCATATCACATTCTTGGGTGGGATTGTCGATGAAGAAAACGATTATAAGACCTATGCGAGGTCGAAACTGCAGTCCACTATGGATGAGAACAACTTTTGGGAAGGCAAGGCTATGTGAAATTGAATGAAAACGTCAGCTCTACTCATATCATTGTGGGAAAATTCTACTACCAGCTCTTCCTCACCTTAAACGAATACGTTTCATATAACTAATTTACTGGTAGTCTCGAAAATCTACTTACATATAAAAAGTCTGCTCAGCCTCCTACCTATCATTGAGTCTATTAATTAAGCAAAATTAATTATTACTCATCTTCCTGCAGGTATTCCTCACCTTTAATGTATTTCTTATTCACTTTATTTCGATGGCTTCGCTAAGTTTACTTTTAGCCGCAGACATGTAAAAATCAGCAAAACAAGAAGTTTAAGACCAATCAATTTCGTGTCCCGTTTCTGCCTGGTGCTCAGCCAACTCTAATTTTTTGAAACAAACAGCCTTTTCTGGAGCTTCTGTGCTCAACTATCCTTTGTTGAATGGTACTATAAGTCTCTCCAACGTAAAAGCGACAAAATGAACAGCTTATGTTGTAGCAACCCGATCTGGATAATGAGTAAACTTTATCTACAAGTGGGCATAACTGAAGAAAGTGTCGTTCTTTCCCTGAGATCGGTTTTTACTTAGAGAGAATGTACGAAATTAAAGACAAAACATGAGAAAAGGTCTCCTTATCTCTCTTTACCTATTCACCATTCAAAAAGCTTTTCTGATCATTCTAATCTTATTTTCAATCAAGCTTATGAGATAATTATTCTAAAAAAAAAATATTTAAAACCGATCCAGTTCATTTTCACAATGGACTCTATCGACTACTCGTATGCTCCAGATAATCATAGTTTTAAAAACGCTAATCTTTGTTTTGTAACTATAATTGGAGAAGAAGTTAAGTATAAAGCCAGCATATGTTTGCTTTCTATGGACATCCCTGCTTAACTTCTCACCTGTTCTGATCACTATGACATCTAAAATGAGTAAATTATTGCCTTGCTCTGATGATGTTCGTCATATGACGGACGAAGGCTTAGCAAGTTTTCGCCGGAATCGAAGAAGATCAACTTGGAAATAGCATCAGCATGAATGTTCCAGTAAAGCCAACCGGCAGCTGGTCGAGAGGAATCCTGCGTCGTGTTCTGGTGGAATCGACCTTCGAATCCCTTCAACAAACACTTTCACTCGAAATGGAAGTGAGCTCAACAATTACAACAATGTGCTCCTCTAACTCCAATAAGAACTCAAATCACTCATGATCGTTTGAGTTGATGTAAGTAGTGATAGAGTATTTTTCAAGATTAAAATGAACTGGTTTCACGTATCCTAGCCACCAAAAATGCTATTCTTCGTCTCATCATTTCCTTCAATGGGATTTGAAACTAGCACTTGCTCGACAAGCAACAAGGCTACCTCTCCGCTTCACGTTCCATTAGGGACAATGGATCACAGGGTTGATGTAACTTTTCAG